CTTGCATTTGCTGATGCAAGTTTGAATCTTAGACTAAGCCAAATAAGGAGTTGTTTATTCCAAAGAGCGCTCAACCTCCGGATGGTTGAAGACGGAAACCTGCGCGCAGCTCTCCTCAGTTCCCCCTTCTTTATTAAAAAACAGAGCGGGTGAAGATAGAGGCCCAATCCCCGGTGTGCAAACATGGGATAATGTATTGGTGACTCCCACAAACTCTACGCCTGCGGTGACCCAAGCCCATTTCGTACCTATTTTCCCAGGGGAAGGATCTTGGGTACAACCTTCATGCAATCGGGCTTGTCTTCCGAGGGCAGCCTAGCCGCATACAAGCAAACCCTCGTGCAGTGCTTAGCCTCGCACCCTGCTTAAGAGAGCATTTTAGTTCTTAATAGTGGCCAACCAGGCCTGGGGAGACTGCCCTGCCTCTATGGCAGTAAAGGCTTGAATAATCATAGCTGTATCGCTCTTTTGTGTAGCCCTAATCCTGCATATACACCACAGGCAGACCAGGGAGACCATAAGCAAGAGGCCTGCTAACGCTCCCATGCCCGCCCACTCTTTCAAATGATCCATGGCGGAGTTCAACCAGGAAGGCAGGCCGCTCGCAAGGGATAGGTCTATTTGGGTGGAATTCACATGCACGATAGCCATCCTGAGTTCTTTCATGTTGTCTTCAAACTCAGATGACCAATTCTGTAATAGAAACTGAGATGATCTTTTAAACTTCGATTGGTGGTAAAAAGGCATGGGAAGATCCCTGCATTATACATCACTGGCATAGGTCTTGGGAACACTGACAGTATCCCCCTTTCCCCTTTCTGGGCATTGTTTCTTCATATGTCCTGTCTTGCCACGTCTAAAGCAAGCACCAGGACTTCCCCTTTTGTTCCGGGTCAGCTGAACTACAGCAGCTGCAAGGCCAGCGTTAGTCTAGTCAGCGGTCCGCCGAGTTCCCTGCAGACCTTCATCCATGTCTCTATCCCTTTGTTTTTATAAGGGGTGATGGCAGTTTTACACTCTTTGGTACACTGTCCATATACCAGCTGCTTTATTAGTGGCATGGCTGCGTCAGAATTCCCAAACACCCTCCCAGCAGCCTCAACCATGCAAGCAACAAAATCAGCGAAAGGCTCCATGGATCCTTGTATTATTTTTGTAAGGTTGCCCGAGACCTCACCCTTATTAGGTATAGATTTCCAGGCTCTAATGGCAATCTGATTAATCTGATCATACAACTGAATCAGGTATCCTGTTTGTTGATTAACAAAATGCCCTTGGCCGAGCAGCATATCTTTGTCCCAGGCTGCCGCTGGACCTCCGGCAACCCGATTTGCTGCCACTTGCTTGTCTACAAACTCACTAAGGAACGCCTTCCATTCCAGGTACTGTCCTGGGCTGAGACAGGCGCGGACTAAGTTGGTCCAGTCGGTGGGCGTCATACAAAGCCTGGCAAGGGACTCAACCAGAGACACACAGAAGGCTG